TCTGCGGGACTTCAGCAGTGTGAGATTGTGTCTACGGGACTTCAGCAGTGTGAGGTGAGTTACCTTCCAGCAGCGGTGGGTCTACGACCACAATGTCGGCCCACCAGTAGGAGTTGTATATTAGATGATTTTCTTTGTGATATTCATCTAGGTTTGCCACTACCTGATATGTTATGTGCTAGTATGATATGATGTTATATGCCAGTAGCAATAGGGGAGATAGTCCCTAAGATCTCCGGTCGATAGGGCCAAAGAGGGGTAGTCATACCCAGTTATACTAGATAGAATATGTTTATGTGATACATATTATGTGGTAGTGGTAGTGGGGTGAAATAGTCCCCAGTATCCGGTCGACAGGACCGAAGGGGAGGCCAGCACCCAGATATTCTAGGCAGTATCCGGTCGACAGGACCGAAGGGGAGGCCATCACCCAGATATGCTAGGCAGTATCCGGTCGACAGGACCGAAGGGGAGGCCAGCACCCAGACATGCTAGGCAGTATCCGGTCGACAGGATCGAAGGGGAGGCCAGCACCCAGATATGCTAGGCAGTATCCGGTTGACAGGACCGAAGGGGAGGCCAACACCCAGATATGCTAGGCAGGACAGGACCGAAGGGGTAGGTCGGGCACCCAGATATGCTTGACAGTATATGCATGATATGTGATTTTATGGTATGTGGTATGATGGGGGAACTCACTAAGCTTCGTGCTTACGGTTTTCAGTTTTGGTTTCAGGTAGTTCGTTTTCAAGGAAAGGAGCCGGCTCGATCGCAGCGCATCACACTATGGTTTTCCGCACATGAGATCTTTGGGATTACACTCTGATATTGTTTTATGATAACACGTTTTTATTACTTCTACTTTGGTTTTGACATGACATGATATTATGGATGTTTTCTTATACTGTTGGTTTTATAATAACTTATCTAAAAATGAAATTTTTGGCCTTGAATTTTGGGAGGTTACATTTTTACCCTAGGAGATCTTAATAGACTCAGATATGAAGTTAGACGTTGAGATCTCAAGCATTAAGCACTTAATAGAATTTTGTGCATGGACTATTTGTACGCCGGGCGTAAGGTTGCGTCAGCCGCGCGTACGGCCAAAGGGTTAAGTACGTTAAGCGTACTGATCTGGTACGTTGGGCGTACGTACCACCGAAGAGTTGGGCTTCATTGGGCTTGCAAGCTTATTAGGCCCTATTTAGCCTTGGGCCTGGTCCCATTCAGAGTTATTTGACTTTTGTTCTAGTCTGCGGCATTGATGTCATGATTGGGCCTTATTGGGACATGTGGACCATTGTAGTTTGGACTTTAATCTTAGGCCCATTAATGTAGGATAAACATTTGGGCTTTAATGGAGGGCCTTAGAATGAGATGTTGGGCCTTTGTCTAAGTTGTGGCTTATTCCTAATTACGGTTGTTTGTATATTTGTTCAATGTGAGATTTTGGGATAGTAGTCGAGCAACTTTTGTGTTCAGCAGACTGAGGTGAGTCTTCTCACTATATCAATGGGCCGAAGGCACCAACACCGGCTCATTACTTGATATGAAATTTCTATAGTTGAAAATGCAATGGTTTGTTATTTGGTATGTATTGATTTACGTGAAGACCATGGGGGAGCCCATGACACCTGGTAAGACCATGAGGGGGAGTCCATGGCCCTTGGGTATAAGACCTTGGGGGTAGCCCATGACATCCTGGTTGAAGACCATGGAGGGAGTCCATGGCAGATTTATGTGTATATGTGTATGACATTATATGGTTATGTGTTTTGTGTATTTTAGGAAACTCACTAAACGTGTACCTTACAATTTTGTTGGGTGTTTCAGGTACTTCTGGTTCTAAGGGCAAGGGTCCGGTTTGATGGCGCAGCATGCACTCTCTAGTATTTCCGCACTAGTTGTTTTGGATACTATAATTTTTTAAACAATGTGTTTATGTAATGAAATTTTGGAAAACAAATATGAATGAGATTTCTAATTATTAAATGAAAATTTTTATCTAAAAAGTTAATATAAAAGGGTTAAATTAATAATAATAATAATAATTATTATTATTATTATTATTATAAACAAATCAATTTATTTAATGTAAATAGGTTTTATAAGTTTATAGGGGTATTGTGTAATTTCCTGAAGTCAATTTTGAAGAGATATTTCAACTTTGGGATAGGATCTGTCATTACACGAAACTTTGGGGTAGGTTATATAGGTCTGGACATCTGGTTGTCTTCTTCCTTCAACGATCAGAATGGTTTTTTTTTCCTGCAGATCCAAACCCAAACCCTATACTCTTACAGTCTTACTCTCTCTCATCGGCTTATTTTCGCCGAGATGCCGAGCCGAGCTCGGCATGCCAAAGGCTCGATCCGGTGTTTGCCGAGCACACCGAAGCCACACCCACGAGCCTTGTGGCCAAATATCACAATTATTCATTCTCCGTCGTATTTTACTCATTTTAGGAGTCGTAGCTAGTCTAGTGGCTCAACAATGGTCAACGCCCAACTTTTTCCAAGTTGACGTTTTTCATCAAATTCATAATTATCTAAACATCTCATAACATTTTTTCATAAAAACTATTATTATTATTGTTATTATTATTATTTTAAATTAATTATTATATTTAATTATTTCAATATAAATTTTTAAAAAATAAGATGTTACAAATTGATATTAACATATTATGTAAAAAAAATATAGATTAAGTTCAGTAACAGAAAAGACAAGGCCAATTTTGTAAAGTCTGTTGTAATAGATATATAAGGGTAAGTGGTGAAGAAAAAATCAGAAACAAACAAAATTTAAGGTATGATTCACTATTTCACATTTCACTAAACCACCCGTGTACGGTTTCAAATACATACATGCCAATTTCGTGGAACTTATCATTTTAACACTACATATAAATCATAGTTTTCTTTTTAGTTATCTATATAGAAGATTCGTTATGGAGAACATTTCCATGCTCTCACTCTTTCTTTTCCTCACTTTAATAGCTACAGGTAAATTATTCTTCTAACTTTTTCAAAGTTCATGGTCAATTATTTAAGGATGTTATTATACCTCTTAGTTACATAAATTGTCAAATTATGAGGGTATACACACCATTCCACTCACAAAAAGGAAGCAATTTGGAGGAGTACGTATAGAATTACTCTTATTTATTTAATACTCACTCAAAGCTAGCCGTTATGCAACCATATGTAACCGAGAATGTAAGTTTATGTTTGGCGGTAGTTGAAAAAAATAGTTTTTATCTTATAAACAAATTTATCAATAAGTTGTCTCAAACTAACTTATTAAAAAAACTAGATTATAAGCAACTTTATAAGCTACAATTTAGAAGTTAGAAATTTTGAAATGCAGTAACTTGAACAATTTCTTGGGTCGTCATTACAACACTTTTCGAAATCGTAATCCGACCCTTATTCATGGGGTTATATGAATGCAGACTTACAGGATAATCCAAGAAATCGAACCAGATTACAAAACTAATTTGATTCACAAACACATAATACCTTGATTGTGTTTTGTGTTCTTTAAGATAGTGTGATGTAGAGAGAAAAAATAGTTTTTATAATCATGTCTTGGAACCCCACCCTACCCCACCCCACCAGGAGCTCTGCTCATTGGACCTTGCTAGGGGTGCTGACTCTAGACCCCGTTAGAAGCGCTGCCCCTTGGAACCCTATCCCCAAGGGTGCTGCCCCCGGACCCCCGTTTTTTCGAGTCCATATTTATCACTTTGAGTGTGCACTCCACACCTCTAATCTCGGTAAGTAAATTGAAGCACCAACAATAAGCTAGTATCACCAAACAATAAAGGGATAAATATTTCTCAGCAAACAATATGCATTAGACCCTTGTTTCTCAGCAAACAATAAATTGCAAAACATAAGCCAACATAAGCCTTCAAGTGGTTACAAAACGGTTAGCCTTGTTTCTCACAAATATTTCATTTATCATATACAAAACGGTTAGCCAATAAGATGTTTTGAAAAGCAATCCCAAACACCCCCATAATATCGTTTACATTTCATTTTTTTAGTTGAAGAAGTAATTTTGAGCGTTAAACAGGTAATGAGACGATGATGAAGAGGGTTATGGCAGTAGAGTGCATAGAAGAACGTCAAGTATCCATCTGCGATGCTTGCAACTTGGTGTGTAGGGTGGCTCATTTTCTCACCACAGCCACAGGTCGTTGCTATTCAGAAAAAGGCGATCCTGACATTGTTCGCTGCTTTTGTTTCTATCAATGTGATTAGTCATTACATTTACATTATTATCAACTATTGATTCAACTATTAATGCACTACAGCAACAAATAAGCCCATTCATTTATTCACATTATTGCACTAATTATGAAATTTTGAAGCATAATCTCGCTCAGTTATATGATCATGGACATGGGTAACGATTAAATTACACCACCAATAATCTCCCTCTCTCTATATATAAAAATATAAAGAAAATAAATATAACATTTAATTAATTTAAGCCGGACTTCAAACTTGTTGCTTTCACTGTTGTTGCTTTCTATTATCTGCTAAACCTTTAACGAAAGCCTCAACGATTTGTTTTTGTGACTCAAGAAGCAGCTCATTGCGTTTCATCTCGGCTTCCATTCGTGTTTTCTCAATCTCATGAACCATATCCATCTTCATCTTCTCCATCTTCACAAACCCATCAGCTAAAACCTTAATCGATGACACAATCTCTCCTAAGGAGTTGTTATTTTCTCTTTTCACCCCTCTTTTTTCTCTTGAAAAATCATCTTCACCATTCAAATAGTGGTGGCTTGAGTTCATGTTCCTGTTCCTGTCACCATACTTACTATCTCTAAACTCCATGGATGCTGAACTCCTGTCTTTTCCCATCTTTACCCAAACTTCATCTTCTCCATCATCATTATCGTCGTCTTCTTCCCCATTTTCATTCCAGTAACTAGGATTCGAGTTTGAAGCAGTCTTGCTAAATTTTCTTGGTCTAATACCTGAATGTTCTGTAACTTGAAAATTTGATGGGTGTACATGAACTCCATTGTTGTTATGATGATCAGACTGGAACCTTGTTGAATAATTTTGAGAGGATGGTTTGTGGTTTTTTCCTGAATTCTTACCCATTGGAGGTTCAATAAAATATTCGTCTTCAACTTCATCATCGTTATCATTATCTTCCTCTTGTGCAGCATAGTTATGTGAAACCCTAAAATTATTTGACCTACTTGCTATAGTTACCAAATTGCTATCAGCTGCAACTGGTTTGAAGCGAATCCCACGCCCAGGATGCAAACCCCCATAATTCGAAACAGTAATTGCGTTGGATTGATGATTATTTTTCGAATTAACATTTTTCATACCGGAAGAATTGAGATCATTACCGGATTGTGTTTCTTCATCGGCATTAGATCCGTTACCGTTTTTCTCCATTGAATCCATAGCTTCGAAATAGAACCAGGTTGAGAGAAACTGGCCACCAGGGAACGACAGCGCTCGTTGTTTCTCGGCACGGTAACGCTGGCGGAGTTTCTCCATCTTGTGGCGGCACTGGGCGGATGTTTTGGGTGGTACGGCGCCAGGGCATATCCGGCCTACCTCTTCCGCCACCGCATCCCAGTCAGCGGTGCGAAGGTACCCACGGCGGAGGGCGTACCATCTCTCCCGGTAGGCTTGGATCAGTGCTAGTGCTTCATCTTGGGTCCAACACGGTGGTGGAAATCTCCGGACAGGCTTCTCAGCTGCGGAAACGGCGGTAGCAGTGGCGGACATCAAGATCCAAAGGAAGGACGACGATAGAAAGATCGTCAGATGAGTGAGGTGAGGTAATTATGGTGGGGTGGAAGAAGCGGAGGAATTACGCGGTGGTTTGAAAGAAGGGAAAGTAAGAGGGTTAGGTGGTAAAAGAAAAGGACCACCGGGTGGGGTGGGTGGACGGTGATGATGTGGATGACGATAGGGGGATGGTGATGCTAGAATGCGCGGGTGTATGTGGTGTGCACCCCCCACTAGTGCACTACACCAACTCCTCCACCTCCACCACCCTGTTGTTCCCCACCACCAACTCATTGCACTTGCATTGCATCCATTATTTTCTCTCTATCAACATTCAACAACTTGCTTAATGGGTTTACAACTTTAAAGAGGGCTTATTATTTTGGGTTCCTTTTAGTAAAATGGGCTCTCTATTGGTTTCTATAGTTTCTATAGGAGCATAAGTCGGAGGGAATTTACGTAATTTACTTATTTATTTGTGTGATACATGTTCATTTTATTAATGATCTTTGCTAAATGGTAACCAAATGAATATAACCATTTATGGAGTGACAAACTTCAGCAAAAACCGATATTAAGTTAACAAACATCGTCTATATTTGTCATATCATGTTATATGTTATATCAACTTTTCAAATATTATTGTTAAAACTTCATTTTATAACTATTTCAAATTCTATGACACCATTTTTATATCAAAATGTTATAAATTTGATGCAAATAAATATTAATATCCAGCTCATTTCGAAAGAGCCTTATCTTTTGTTTTAGGCCCTAAAGGGTCCCATGGAGAACTAATTTGAAAGAGTGAATAAAATAATTTTTTATTTACCTTGAACTTTGAGATCAAGTTTAAGGATAATGACTTAAAAGGGTAATATATTTTTTCGATTTTTACACATTTGGTCACTGATTTTTTTTTTTCGTCCACATTTACCCCTTCAACTTGTTAAACTGTATACATTCAGTCCTTATGACCGGCTA